GAGAGCTGTTTTGTCCCGTCTCCAGTCGGGAGCGATGACCTCCCAAAGTGTGCCACCACATTCGAAACTAAGCTATTTCTCCACCACCAGTTCCATCAACATTTCCAACTCAAAATACAGTGCACACATATAAATGCAATACCACCACCACTACCACCACACAACATAACCACTCGTTAACGAATTCTGCATGCTTTCAATCTGTTTAACAACAAAAAGCAGTGAAAAGCTTGACAAATTCTCCTTTACGTCCTAACAGCTCGCGCGCAGCCCTATGTGTAACGATCGTAGTTTAGAGTTGACCAGGCATCGGTTTACTCACAAACTCCTCCTCCTCCTCTTGTAATGGCTCTCGTTCGTCAGCTTTTGCATTCGAACTGGCAAATAACCGCTCAACCTGAAAACAAAATATTACTATGGAAGTTTGATCCTTCCAAACTACCATTCAATCTTTACCTACATCTTTAAAACAGTGCAGATTGGGATAACCCACTTTGCTGATAACACGAGGACGCTGTTTGACTTAGGGCGAGGAGGGAGCGGAGGTATTTCGTACCTCCGTTGGTTCCTTATGCTAGCGCTCTCGCTGCAAGGGTCCAGGGGTATTTTATCGAGGCATCTACCAGTCCGGTAGTTGAAGGGAGAAGGTAAAGGAGGAGGGATCAGAGAAGGGAGGAAGGAAAAGAAGGAAGGAGGAAGAAAAAAGGAAAGAGAAGAGAGGCTCCCCGGTTGACAAGTGCCCTGAGACGCGCACAGAAAAGTGAGATGAGTCGGGCCTCGGCCCAATGGGAGAAAAAAGGCATAGGTTCTCAAAAATACCGAAAAATCGAGCGTTCCCCTTTCTCCCCGCTCCAAATATGTTAGGAGGCTTGACCGCTGGGATCCCGGAGCCTGGGAGCAAAGGGTCTGAGAGCTATTCACTTGAGGAAGTCATTTTTTCACAGAGCTCCCCCGTTTCGTAATTTTTCATGCCAATATTAGAGTTAAGCCAGAACCCTAAACGTCCTATAATCCACATGAATCCGAAAAAAACTCGGCACAGTTCGGCTTGGTGCGAGCAACAAATAGCACTTAGCGAAGTGTGAAGAGCTGTAAATTCTCGTAACCAAAGTGGTTCACTTGTACGATCTCGCAACTTCACAAAAGTTTACAGGTCTCATAATACCTGTTAGTAAACATGTACTAGCAAAAGGAACTAGCGAAAGTGCAAAATGTACCCCCCCCCCTGAACCAAAAGCGCCAAGAACTTCCAGAACTTCTTATGAATCGAAGATCCTTCTAGGAAGAAAATCAATCGAGAGGAAAACCCTGCTCTTAGTGTTAACAAATTCGCAAGTCATCGCCAGAGCCCATTTAAAACAATAGTTTGGAATAGCAAACCCATCAGGGCCCCCAGAGAACTAAGGGGTGAGAACAAGGAGCCTAGGCCCATACGCCCGTACCAAGCCTAATCAATAGATACGCATATAGCTCGTAAGCTCTCCTAGACACAAATCACTAGGTCTAGTCTGTTCGGGAAATCAATGACTACTGAACTAACAAGGGAAAATGAAACAGTAGGACGTTGAACGGGAAACAAAAACAAAACCAACCTTCTTTTCTTTCTTCTCAATACTACTATTCCTGTGCCCAGCTCGGACTACAGCTCGCGGAATACCGATGCTAATCACCGGGTTGATGTCACGCGTAGAGATTGGCACATCTTCATCTCCAACACTTTTTCTTGCACGCCGTCGCGATGGTGACTGTTTCAAGGCTGAAAATGGTCTGATTAGACACTTGAACTTCTCTCAATCTTTATTACAAGACAACAATTGATCCACTGATACAAAACGTGTTCATGGAATCGTCTACAAAGTGACCTGTAGTTATCATGCCTTAATTTTCATGAACACACTTTGTAGTGCACACCAACAAATTACATTTTCTAAGACTATTAACTATAAGTCTGTGACCGATAGAGTGTGCGCAACGGGGTGATGGGCCTAGTTGCAGACAGAGTCCACTTTGATCGTATGGGTGGAGACAGTCAAACTGCGCCTTCCTCGTTCAGAGCCCACAGTCTGTTGAGTCACAACAGGTGCTCGTAATTGGCCTATCGAGAGTAATTGCGTGAGAAATTTTTTTTCTGACTGTCAATCTTTCCAGTTCACGCGCATTACTAAGCGCCTCTCTCAGACGGCAAAATTTTGGGCAAAATTGACGATGGTAGGCAGGATAGGGAACGGTTTACCAGAAGATGAAATTCGGAGCTGGGAGGGTCCACTTTGCAAAAAAAGTCTATAGCTTGATGGCCGCCTCAAAGTCGTTGATGTACCCTTCCTCCTAGGATGGTAGAGAAGCGAAGCGTCGAAGGAAGGCATAATGGTTGGCAGTCTCCACCAACCTGCACGGAATGTGTCTTGAAGTACTGGGGTATCCCATGAGTTTCTTAGCCTTTTTTTAAGTTCGCAACTTTCGGCTTCCCTAAAGAAGTCACGCGGCAGATTTGAGCCTAACAACCCCCCCCCCGGTAATTTTTTTTACCCGCAGGACCGGAAGCAGGTGACGCGTGCCGTGAGCCGGTGGCTCCGGATTCGACATGCGGACTCTACAGGTTGCATAAAAATTAGATCTTAGCACAACGAATTCTGCGTGGCCTGCACAATAGAAACGAAATTTTGCGTCATTGCGAAATGACTTTTCTGAAACGAAGTTAAGAAACTTGTGGGACACCCTAATATTGGCCCATTTTTGGCTCAGTGCTTCTAACTGATCATAACTGAATACGGTGCTGTTTTCTCTTACTACCACAATCTATAACTATCGAAAACGATATATCTTCGAACAAGCGTATAAATTGAGCCGTTCAAGATTGTTATAATTTATTGGCCAACGTTTCGGCTAGTTCGCCTTCTTCGGGGCCTGAAAAGAACAACTGAGATCTGTTCCCTCGAACACATTTCGAGATCCTAGTAAATTCCCTAACGGTATCGATTCACCTTAGCGATCGATACCGTTAGGTGGTTTACTAGGATCATAGTCTTAAGTTTTGTGAAGGCGTTCGAGGGATCTCAATTGTTCTTGGACTCTTTCAGGCCCTGACGAAGGCGAAGTAGCCGAAACGTTGGCCAATAAATTATAACAAACTTGGACGGCTCAATCTATCACCTGTTCGAAGATACATCAATGCCAAGATTAAGAGAAAGGTCGATCCTGGACGAAAACGATACAGCTATAGACCAGACGCTAAATGGATCGATCGTTCTAGCTACCGTGAATGTAGTTCAGCACATCCGAGGCGCGGAATCCCGCAACGCCTAGAAGTTCTTCCTGAGTAATTTGACGCTCCGCAGCGCTGCCACGTTGTGTGGACCGGACCTGGTACCACTGGCACCATCCGCAACGCCGGTCCTAGGGTCCTATTTGTCAACTGCTGAGCCCTCCTCCTTCCTTCCTTATCTCTTACCCCTTCCTTATTTACCTCCCATCACACGGTCGGTCAGAATGTGCAATGAGAAAATACTACTGGACCATCGTAGCGAGAGAACATCCGATTCACAGAAGCGCTATTACCCTGCGACGCCACTTCCGGCATCCCCGCCGCGCCTTGGATGTACAAAACTACTCTCCTCAAAACTGTAGGTACTTTATGAGAACAACATCTGCCCCTGAAATGTATAGATGCCCTACTTGGAGTAACAAGAGGGGCGAATCTCTGAATGTTCCACAAATGTACATTGCTTGGCTCTTTCTAGAACTAAAAACAAGCTAAACTAAACTATAGAGAACTAAAACTATTCATGATGCAATCAACATTTTGATAATCAGCAACAAACTACATGCCAAATACGACACCCCACACTGACACCCACTGTCCACAACGTCTAAGACAAAGGGTAGCACGGAACAGAAAGCAAATAGCACACAAGCGCAATACATCTGCTCAGTATGCCGACTTGGGATAATGGGTTAGGAAAAGTTCGGTGTCGGACACGAGCATTATGAGCAGCTTTGCCGCAAATTCATTTCTTTTTCGACTGCTTCAGCTCCTGAGCCTGACAAGTGCGGTTACAGAAGCAGAAGAGCTCGTTCTAGAATCCGTGCCGCCAAACAGGTCCTCCTATTGAGCAGCGCATAATGAATCTATGAGTCTCGTGGCACGGATTCTTGTACGAGAACAAGGTGTGGAAATCATATGGCGCTTTCCTAGAATCACGATCATACTCTGCGAAAACTGTCGCTCCGCTGCTCACATGGAAATGATATTTACATACAAGTGTATGACTTCAGGGAATGTCAGACAGAGAAGCCCTACATTGAAATTTGCAAAGCTTCGTTGGGCCGCGTTCACATCTTGCGAACTTTGAGAACCTGTGATTTCGCAGAATGTGTCCTTTTAAAAGGCGACAAAGGTTAAGCATGCAATTTGATCTCAAGGAAAGGGTTCTGAAGAAGGTGCGAATCAGGAAACGTTTTGCCGTTGGAAGAAACTTTTGCAAGATACGCTCTCCTTCTCAAAAGTTCCTATAATAAATGGAGACAAGCTGAAGTATTTTCACACAACAACTACGACCCCTTTACTCCTTGCAGGGAACGAAAACTACCCATCCCTTGCTGAAGGGAGATCCCCCACCCAGGACGTGCTCTGGTGCGGAACTTGGAAATCCCAGATGACATCGAAATTGGTTAACTTCACATATCTTCACCTATTGGCGTCGCGCATTCTCCACAGACGCGTATTCTTCGGAAGCGCCTGTCGGCAGAGTGAACTGATTCCCCACTAGTCCGATGTGCAGCCTCCCGTTTCGGCATTCTCCACGAATTCTCCAGATCGATACCTATACTTCCCACAAATGACCCAGGTCTCTGCTCAGAAATTGTGGATTTTCGTTTTACACAAACAGGGTACGTTCTGTCGTTGAGGGGAAATTTTTGCAAAATGCGATCCCCCGCCATCCCCTACCCCATCTTCCTGAACTTTCTCAACCTCTAACCTGCTTCCCCAGTTAACCAAAAAATTTCCTTTATATTCCTCCAGAACTACTGCAATCGAGCAAGAAGGAGGATGAAGAAAGGGAGGACGGGTAAATAGTATCTTTGAAACAGGGAAAAACCGATAATAGTCAACACGTAAAATATTACTTCTAAAGGCAAACACGACCTCCCTACCCCTCGTGACTGAATACGACCCCCCCCCCTTTGTTGGAGATCCCCATCGCATGGCATGCCGTGGTCATTATCAAGGCCTTACGTGAATGTGAGCAGCGATCAACGGCCTAGAATTCAGAGCATGATAGTTGAAGTACACGTTGTTACTATGTATAACTCAGACTAAAGTAAGATTAAGCACCAAATCACTTCACACATGTATCTCAAACCAAAAACGCGAAAAATCAATGTATACCGAGATAGGAGTGGACCAGAGTACGGAACTTTCCGTTCGTCCTCCGTGGATCGGCTGTAACGGAACATTCTAGAGAAGCCGGTTGAAGTGTTAGAAATCCCATTCACCAAAGGGATATATGGGTAAGTTCAATTCAAAATAATGTTAGCAATGCACATACAGTCTCGTTCGCAGCGGATGAAGAGGCGTGTCAGGAGGATGCACCTGGCGTGGGAGCCTAACCCATTCTCCACCGAGTTGTGGAAGCCGGTAAGTGGCAACAGTTGGTGGAAAACGACTGACACGAGCTAAGTAATGCAGCCTTGTCGATTGCTCGCTTCAAGAACGAGTGTGGAACGAGTTTGGCATCGCGCCAGACTCATCCCTCCTGACACGCCTATTCCTCCGCAGTGAACAGGATTACTCATCATTAGTCATTTAGGATCAAGATCATTATACTCACATCAAATGGATAAATGCAAACAAAAAGGAAAAATGGATTCTCCTTTAAAACTACTCCCACGTACAGGTAAACATAACCTTGTAAAAGATCAACAAAGGCAAAAACGAAAGATGAACTGCGAAATATCAACGTAAACATATCATAGCCACATGCAAACTGAAAATATTATACCTGGCCCTTTCTTGAAAACGTGTTCCGTCATGAATGACAGAAATCGTTGAGCGTAGAAGTTGGGATTGTGGACGGAAATGGAATCCTAAACTTTCGCTTTCAGTAGCGGTGAAGAAATACGACAAATAGAAGAAACTAACTACTCTGGCGGTTAACGGAGGCAACCCGAGGCAGAGCACCTCATTGAGGATCTTCAGCGAAAAACAGGGACGTATTTGCCCTCGAAAAAATGTTTCACGTTGCTGACTTTTCCCGATTTCTCCCGTTTCAAGCGCATTTTACCCCTTCCCGGCTCGGAAGCAATTTTTTTGGGGGGATGGTGGGGGGAAGGGAACGCCGGGGAACGATAGGATGCCGGGAAATTTAGGAAGATGGCTGACGGATTGGAATCTTCCTCAATGGCAGGACGTGCCCTTACGTGAGAGCGCCACGAAGTCCGCTCTATACGAGGCATCGCACACTCCGGTCCCCTGCGCTTATCTATGTCTAACCGTAGGTCGGAAGGGGAAATGATACAAGCCTGGCGCTGTGTGGCCTAAAGAGCTTCAAAAAAGTCAGAAATACCGCTAAGAAAATGGACTCGTAGCACCATGAGAGAACAATTTCCACACAAAGGTTTGTGTAATCTTACGACCTACTTGACGGTCCGGCCAGTGTATGTCTCCCCCCCCCCCACCACCAACACCCAATTCCACAAAATTACACAAAACAGGCTAATTCCTCGGGAACTTCACGGAAGTTTTCTCAGTATGTCTCAGAAAAACGTAGAGCAGAAAGCGCTCATGTCCTTTCTTCGAGCGATTTCGGCTCAGAATAGCGCAGACGATCACCAGTCCCGAACCCTACTTTACAGTGAGGTGCCCACAACACCGTCAGCACCAGAAGCCGATAAGCTTTTCCAAAGAATATTGAATAGAAAAATAACGATGAAAAATCTGCAAACCCCATCATGCAAAATCGCTTTCCACGTATGCTCCATCTTCTTTAGCAACCGGTAATTTTGCAAAATGTCAATAATACCTGAAAAAGAAAATCGCAAAACTGAAGAATCTAATTTCCAGTAATTCCTCGATATGAAGAGTGATCGGCCCCACTGTAATACGGGGAACATTTCGTGTAGTAGTGTGTCGGATTACTACAATTACAAAATGGCACAAAAGATTACTTTGAGAATTGTATTCACGACATTTCCTTGACATTATTCTATGTTTTAGCCATAAATGCTGGTAGAGATAAAATACTTTACCCCGCACGGAGCTCCTTCCACATCTAACAGTAGGTACAATAAAAAAGTTCCCCGAATAATTTTAACTAGACAATGTTCGTGAAGGTTTCAAACACTCTCGGCACTCTACATCACAGAATGACCTGCCGCATTACATTAGTGCCATGATAGCATGATAGCAGAAAACGTCAAAAACGTCTAAACTCACCAAGAAATAAAATTAACCTATCACCATTTGAATTTCGCGCTGGTACTCCACCAGGTGGGACAGAGCCTTCAAACTCAGATTGGTCCCACACAGAAAACTTCGACTGCAGTGGCTGAAAACAAAGTTCTCCATAGGTGATCAAGTAATCCGTTCAAGTGCCATAAAGTATCAAGATGGGATTTCACCGCTTACTGACAATTACAATTTTCTGCAAAACAAAAAGCCTTGCACGAAAAGGAAAATTCGGAAAAAGCTACAAACCGGAAAAACTTCGTCCCGCACGGAAAAACTCCTATCAAGGGCAGATACGACACTTACCATTGTGATACTTCAAACGATGAGCATAACCGCGGGAAACGGGATCAACTATCAAAAACAATTTCTCAGACCAGATACAACTCCCCCCCGATGATCATGTACAGCCCACCTGATGGGATTACCCCAACGTTGGTTGCCTTGGCTGCAACCTTGGTTGCAAACGCTGGAGGTCAAGTGAGTCACAATTGCTCAAATTGTCAGAAAATTACCACTTGGAACAACTTTGTTGGGGACCGAGAGCGTAAATCCTTGTGACAATACATCGAAGAAGGAACTTTACCACAGGAATTAAGGAACATTGTGGAGATGTCGAAAGCTCTACCACAATATGACCCTCCTACAGCTTTTTTTCAATACGACCCTCCCCCACGTAGAATCCGTAAGGATGATATATGATGAAGGGGAACTTTTTTGGTGGATAAGGAGTCCGCTCACGATGACAAAAAATAATCACATAATATCCCTCAGAGAGCAAAAATTTGAAGATTTCAAAGCGAGGCCTCTATCAATGCACCACCTACCCGTCTTCGAGTTTCAGTCTCGCCTCTACTCGTGCTTGGCAAATCGTCGACCTGTTCCAATTCATCCTCACTTTCCTGCCGTACGGGCTGAGTACGATTTCGGTCGCCGGTTGATGTTAATTCCACGTTGTGTATACCCACTAGCAAGGAGTAATCCATAATTTTGAAACTTTCTAAGACCTGAAATATTTCGTTTAAGAAGAAAAACCATCTAAAAGTCTTTGCAAATTAGTAAGGAGTAGTTAACTTCAGTAAAGAAGAGAGTTGAAGACCACAGACTGAAGTGTTTACTGAAAAATTTTAAAATTCAGCTTACCAAGCAATCTCGGCTAATCGTTCGTATAAGACTGTCATATGAGATGGGATCCATTGAGAGACCTTCATTGGGATGATTTTCTATGAAATCCA